CATATATTTTTATTTATTTATTAATTTTGGGGTTAAAAAATTTGCAAGCAGTATGATAATAAGAAATTAATATATTGAACATTTGATTGGCATTTTTGTGTAGAAATAAAATACCCCCATCGATTAATGCAATAAAGTTTAATATTAAATTATAATCACCCTTGTTGTAACTAAACGATTGAGATTCGTTTTTGGGTAGAGGTTCTGAAACTAAGATTCTCCAAGTTATACTAATGTGACGCTTAATATTATTACCTAGTATAGCATTAGGATACAAATTTAAAATAGAATTATTGTTGTAGGTAAATAATAAGTCCAACATATTTTTGGGGGAACCATAGGTTGTCTGGAAAGTAGGGAAAAATGAATACCGTTATTTTTAATATCTAAATACTGTGACTGTTTATGGTATTGTTTCAACACACAAGAGCGTTACACTTATCATTTTTTATAATTGCCAGAGTTGAAGGTATGCATCAATTTTATTATATTATTTATTTTGCATATTAATTTTTTTGCCAGGACTTGTTATGTTGTTGTTGTTATGTTGTTGTTATTATGTTATTGTTATGTTGTTGTTGATATGTTGTTGTTATTATGTTATTGTTATGTTGCTGTTATGTTGTTGTTTTTATGTTGTTGTTATGTTGTAGTTGTTATGTTGTTATTGTTATGTTGTTGTTGTTATGTTGTAGTTGTTATGTTGTTATTATTTTGTTGTTGTTGTTGTTATGGAAAACAAGATTCTAAAACTATTGAATGCGTGACTTTTTTGGGGATTTTTTTTACATTGTATTTATGGGAAAACAGCTGTTATACTAAAAATCTGAAAAATTGTTTGAAGTCATAATAAACATAAAATTAATTCTAAAAAATTATCAAAGAGTGGCCAAAAAAATAACCGTTAATGCAAACAAATGAAGTTCACAATAAAAAAATATTATTTTACCTTTTTTTTATTTTCCATCAAAATCAATTACAATCTACATTCATGCAGTTGCAATCTAAATCTATTGCATTCTACATTTAAACCCAGCAGGCACAATGACGTTGAAATAACGTTGAAACAACGTCGCAAACCGACCATATGCCACGTTGAAACAACGTTGAAATTTGGTTGAATTGGAAATAAAATTCGACGTCGAAAACTACGACATTGAAACAACGTCGATGATTACGGTGTTTCAACGTTGATCTAACGTCTTATCGACTACATATCAACCATATTTCAACTTTGAATAGGTGATATATTCGATTGATACGTAGTTGATAAGTCGTTAGAACAACGTTGAAACAACGTAAATTCCACGTTCATTTTTTTTTTTTTTTATTTTGGTTAAATCCAATTAACTAAAAAATTATCTCAATAAATTAACACAATAAAATTTGCAATAAATTAACACAATAAAAAAGCAACAACTTGCGCGAAGAATATTATATTTTACATAAATTAATTAGATACAATTAAATTGCTTCAACGGACTTTATATACAATGCAAATAAAATAAAATGTTTGAAAAAAAAAAGTTTTATTTATCAGTAATATATTCATCAATTTATCAATATAATAACTATTATTAATAATTTCAGAACAACTAGGAAAAAGTATGAATGTCATACATAGGGTGAATCGCTTTTTACGCGCCGACCACCACCATTTGATCTGTCGAGTGCGTATTTTAATAAAGTCATTATTCCTTTTCTTATTTCGGCAACTGTAGCAGTCACTTTAACTGACAAAAAATATATAATTTTACACTTAACTTACAAGTAAATACCTAATGTTTGTTCCTTTAAACTTCTCTTTACCTTGACCGCCAGCCATATTAAATTTTGATTATAAACCATTGGTCAACAACCTGCATTATACATTGTTATCATTATTATAGTTACATTAAAAATTGATAAACATGTCTTTTACAAAATACAAATTATTTTCAATGAAAAATTGCACAAACCGCAAAGATTTCTTACCAAACCGTAATGCAAGTAAGAAAAAGAATTAATACAGGGGAAGAGTTTGGTCCAAGGAGACCACCTTCTAAACGCCAGAAAACACCAAGAGCGGACAGTATAATCAGAAATATCTGCCTGGAAAACATAAAAAAAGCCACTAAGCTTATCCATAAAGCTGTAATTGTTGTGTCAGACCGGACCATTTGTAGAAGGCTAAAAAAAGAGGGATTGATGTCCAGCCAAAAAAGTCAAAAATTGACAAAAAAATTCAAAAATATTTAAAATAATGTTAAAAATTCTTATATTTATTCAAGATGGTGCAACTTCCCACACAATAAAAACTGTTATGGCTTAGTTGATGTATTGCTATGGCGAGACAACTCGCATGGTCTTAACCCCATAGAAAACATTTGGGAAATAGTAAAATCTGGAATTGGAAAAAAAAAATCTTACTAATAAGCAAAATCTTATGGAAGAGATTATCAAGATCTGGCATAATAACTCAGAGTTGACAGAAACTATATAAAATAAATTGCCAGCATGCCACAATGCAATGAAACAGTTATTGCAAATAAAAGTGTTTTGACAAAATATTTATACTTTATACATATTTTATATAATTTATCATAATAATCAATAAATATTCAAAATGTTCAACTTTATTTAATTTTATCAAGTACAACTTTATAAATAAAAGAAAAATATATTCATATAAGCATATGTATGTATATATACATACATATATATGTATGTTTACTTATGTACATATATATGTATGTATATATAGAGTTAAAAAAAAAAGGTTAAGTATGCGTTACAAATCAACCTTTGTACTTTAAGGTTGTTCTTTAGCTCAAGGAAATACAAAAGTAAGAGAAAACAGTTACAAAAAAAACTATAATCAGACATAAAAAAAAAGATTAATTTTATGTCTAATTAGAATTCGTCAAACTTTTAAAAATATATGCTACACATATTTTTAACACAAGTTTAAAACAAACTATAATAAAAAGATGCAAAAGATTTTTTATTTAAAACTACTTTTAACAAACCTTTGCATCACATTTTTTTGTATTTGTCTTAATGGTTTTACCTCCAAGTTTAGAAAGTTTGTTAACCTAAAGGTTTAAGAAAATAATTACACCACATTATTTTTATAGTACATTTATGAAAAGTTACAAGTAGATTAACTTTTCATAAATGTAGAAAATGTATTAAGTAGGCTAAGTTATTATTAAATACTTAATCAAAAAACAATAAAAAAAAACTGCAAAAAGTCATGGTTTGAAACAACCCATCACTTCTGACCTCACCCAAGAATCATTTAAACTGTTATCATAATCATTAAATTACTGCTGCAGTTTCATCCATAGAATTTCAGAACTATTAGTCATGATATTACTTTAATTACTGGAAAGAGTTGTTACTAACATCTCTTTCTAACAATAAAGATATATCAGAAAGACAAAAGAACCAAACATTAATTAATTTCTAAAAGCGTTAAAACACAAGAACAAAACATTTATAAAATAAAACATTATTCATAAATTAAATTAAATGTATTAATTTAGCAACCAATAAAATGTGTAAATCACTGAAGCATAGAAAAAAATGTTTAGAATCTTTTCTTCCTAAATCAACTTGCAGACAAACAATTAATACCTTGAGCTACAGTATGTAGAGTATGCATAAAAATTGTTTTCTGTTTCTTTTTTTGCGTTACAGGAATAGTTACTTGCTTACTATTCTGTTGGTTATTATGTTTTCTCTTGCATAAGCATGGTAGTGGCTCCTATAAAAATTAATATCAAAATAAAACTAATAATACTCGAATTAAGTATCTTTTAAAATAGTTACAGTTTTCTGAATCTGATTCTATCTGAGTATCACTAGTAGTGGCAAATTCAAATTTATTGCATAACTCATAATCTAAGAATATTCATTCCATTTAAAAATGTTTTAAATACATTATACAATAAAGAATCTTAACACTGAAAACAACATATACAGAAAGCATGTTTAAAAAATAAGGAAAAAAAGTAATGACTTAATGTTTATATTAAAAAAAAAATTTTTAATATAAATATAACATTATCCATTTTTTTAATATAATTTTAACATTATCATGACATTTAATTTTGAGCAGCTTAAATCTGTATTAGTTAAACTGTGGTTTATGCATTTCATTGAAACAATTTATTACATTTAATGATGATGGCCAGCACAAAAAATTATCAATCGAATTTTCTCTCTCTATTTCTCTGCATTTTCTATCCAAACAGCTCGAATGTACATTTTGCTTGCCCTACTATACTAAAATTTGCTAAATTTTTATGTTGATCTTTCTACCAAACAATATCATGGACTAAAGGAGCAAGCACAAATTCTTTTTTATACAACTTTACAAGAAAAATCTTTAAAAATTTAATAAGAATTTTTTAATATGAAAAATATTCAAACTCTTTAAATCACATGGATTGTTAAAAACGCTTGATAAATCATTATTTTGTAAAACATCATCTATTTTCATACACAAATTCAACACAATAAAACTTTCTATTAATGGAATACATATATATATATATATATATATATATATATATATATATATATATATATATATATATATATATATATATATATATATATATATATATATATATATTCTTGCGGCGAACGTGACGTCACTTTAACTAACTAAACTGCTACCATTATGGTATGGGGGCAAACAAAGCGCTTGAAAATGGTGAAATGAGTTTTTGATTGTTCACTTAATGTAATAGTCATCTGAACTTGATTTTTTATATTTTGTTTTAGGTGCTAAAAAATATATAGAGTGAAATCATCCCTCCAACATAACCAATTGTTATGTGAAATGAAAGGAGAATAAATAGATTAAACAATTCAATTAGTATATACTATATAGTATTATATGTACTGTATAAACAACAAGATAAACTATATAATATAGTTTATCTTATTGTTTAAAATGTTTTTGTAAAAACTGTTTATGTAATAGTTACAATTTATTTTTGCTATGCATTGATGCATAACAAAAATAAATTGTATATATAAATATTAATGCATTAAAACTAAGCATTTATAAATCATGTGTTTATTGTTTTTATTTTTAAATAAATTAATGTTCAATAGCTTGTTAAGCACAAATTTTGTATTTACTATATACCTCAAACTTATACTTTTTTAGAATATTATGTACAAAAAAGTCATTGCAATAAATCTCAAGTTATTAAAGTCAGTTAACAAATAAGTACTGACAATTCATTGACTGGAGTGGAAGATGTTAGTGTCTTGAATCAACATGAAACAACAAGTTAACTGAGCTGAGAATGATGGTAGTTTAAAAATAATGCAGCATTGGCTAGGTAAGTGATTATGTGTATGTTGGCTCACTCATAAGTCAATATATATGTGTTTATGTTCTGTGTCGACCTCTGGTGTCGTGTTGGCTCACCCTTTAAACATTATATGTGTGTTTGTGTTCTGTTTCAACCTCTAGTGCGGTGTTGATTCACTTGTAAGTCATTATGTGTATAATTTTATTTTGTTTTATTGTGTTATTATAGTGATGTTATTGTTGTGAGGCTTTGTGTTGATAGACAACTTTGCTTACTTTCTCGTTGGTGTCTCTTGCTACAAATGATTATTAGAAATGATTATTTTTACTTGAACTCGTTACTTCTAATCATTTACTAATAGGCAAGAAACATGTTTTAAAGTAAAACATACTTTTAATGTTGTCATTTTTAATCTTTAGGATTGTTCCTTGGTCACAAAAACAATCTTACAAAGTAAGTTTCTTCTTTATTATTTATTTAGTTATATTTTTAATTAAATTTTTATTTTTCATGTTAACATGATACATAAAACATTAATTTGTAAATGCTTTCAGCATAAATTGGTTCTATTTTCTTTAGTAGAGTTTCTGCTGTTGTCACTGGTTTTAGAGAGTACCTTTGTGAATGAAGATAAAAAGTCATTTATGTTATTTTTTTAAAAGCCAAGACATAATATTGTTAATCCTCATACCATTTACTAAAAAGCTTTATAAATATTGTTACGATGTTATAATTCAAATTGTTGTAATTAGTAATTTTGATCATTTCATTATTATACTGTAAAAAATATTTTTTATTTATAACATTTATTTCACATATATTAAAAACATGAGGAATAAATATTACACTGAGGAAAATTTTAAGCAAAATATAGAATTTTTAAATGTTATTAGAATATCAATATGTAATTTTTTTGTTTTATTTATTGACTACATCTGTAAACTGTGCAATAATTTCAAAATGATGAATTAATTAAATTCCATGTTTCCTTTAAGCATTTGCACAGATTTATTTCAATATAACGCTAAATATTGTTCTGGTAACGTTCAGCAGCTTTTTTAGATAACTTTTCTTGATAATCATAAGACATTTTCAAAGCGTTTAAGTAATGATGTTTGCCCCCATATCATAATGGTAGATATTTTTGTTTTTAATTACGCAATGATCACGTCGTTTTTTCGCCGCAAGAATATATATATATATTTATTTATTTATTTATATATATTATATATATATATATTTATATATATATATATATATATATATATATATATATATATATATATATATATATATATATATATATATATATATATATAGTATATATATATATATATATATATATATATATATATATATATATATATATATATATATATATATATATATACTATATATATATATATATATATATATATATATATATATATATATATATGTATATATATATATATATATATATATATATATACATATATATATATACATATATATATATATATATATATATATATATATATATATATATATATATATATATATATATATATATATATATATAGTATATATATATATATATATATATATATATATATATATATATATATATATATATATATATATATATATATACATATATATATATATATATATATATATATACATATATATATATATATATATATATATATATATATATATATATATATATATATATATATATATATATATGTATAGTATATATATATATATGTATAGTATATATATATGTATAGTATATATATATGTATAGTATATATATATATATATATATATATATATATATATATATATATATATATATATATATATATATATATATATATATATATATATATATATATATATATATATATATATATATATATATATATATATATATATATACAAACTAGTATTGTCAAATATACTAACATCTAACATACATAGTAAAACAATTTAATCTCTAAAAATTGAAAACTCTAAAAAAAAACTTACTTAAAAAACTGTAAAAATAATTCAAGTAATCTACTTGTAATCCACACTCATGAAATAATACGGTCATAAAGAAATATCCATTTAATATTTACCTAACTAACTGCATCACAAGTTAAGCTATCCCAGTAAGAAAAAGACGTCAAGCCGTAGTTGTTATTTGGTTGTATTTTGGTCGCGACGCAAATTAACTAAATTCCAACGATGTTCTAACGTCGGCATAACGGTGTTGTTCTAACGTTTGCTATCAAACGTTGGAACAACGTCGGAAAAACGTTATCATCTAAAGTCTTGAATGTTAACATTAAAACGACGTTGGAACAGCGTTGGTTAATAAACGTAAAACCAACGTTAGTCTGATTAACGTTGATTGATCTGATTAACGACTTTGGAACAACGTTGCTTTTTTTACGTTTTTACTTTTGACATCAGAGCAACGTGAGCTTTCTAACGTAAACACAACTTGATTTTACAAACTTGCGCATTTTTAAAATGGTTGAAAAACCGTTATCGTAAAAGATGTTGTTTTTAATCTAATTTTAATTTAATGGTTTTTAGTCATTATATTCTGTGATACTAATAAATAATAAATTATTTCATTATATTCTACATTCGAATTAGATATTAAACTTTTATCATATTAATGATAAACAAAAGTTACTAAAAATTTATTTGATTTTCAAAAACTGTTGACATTTTTGTTATGTTTTTGTATACTTTGTATATTTAACATTACTTATATATTAAAAATTTAACATATTTAATATTTGCCCATAATATTTTATTTACAAATAGATAATGCAATGATAGGTTTTTTAAATACCTGTTATTAAACTATTTAACAGTTTAATTAAATGCCAATTAAAATACAGAGCCTTTTTTTTTTAAGACATTCAATTCAGTTGTCTAAGACAGTTGTATTAAAACAAGGTTTTTACGTAATATACATAATATATTAAGTATAAATTTAAGACAATTAATTATATTAAGACAATGTCTTAATCATAATAATATTATTAACAAACTAAAAAACTTTTCATTCAAATAAATAAAATATATATTATTAATATATATTTTATTTATTTGAATGAAAAGTTTTTTAGTTTGTTATGGAACTAGACTAGAAATTACCTAATAAGCTTCTTATAACTTGTGTAATGTGTTTCTTTTACGAATTTGTATATTGGTATAATCATATCATGCTATTCCTACAATATTATAACTAACACTGAAGCTTGAGTCTCAAGTCACGAAAAAGGGTAAACAATTTTTTATGTATTTTTATTAAGTTTTTTTTTTTTATTTTTTTTTTTTTATTGTTATTCACCTCCGGGTTACTACCAGGAACATGGTAAGGATAGAACTCATAACTTCTCACACAAAAAATATATCCTACAGAAACAGCAACAGAACATCTAAATTTTACACTAGATCTTAGTCATAATAAACAAAATATTTATTTAAATCAATACACACAAAGTGTTAGATGATATACACTCAGTCACTATTTAATTTTCAAAATGAATCACAATTTCATGTTTCCCTAATTTCAGAGTTGAAAGAAAGAGCTGATTTTGGCCATAAAGGCCATAAAGGGTGCTGCAGTTAAGGAGGCTCCTTTTATTTCAATTGTGCTTATAACCCCCTCTCAACTCAATAACTCCGAAGTATTTTAATAAAGTACATGTCAAATATATTTGTGTGTAGTTTTTGTATATGATATGTGATATGATATAGTTTTTAAAATTGATATGTTTTACCAAAATACATATATATATATATATATATATATATATATATATATATATATATATATATATATATATATATATATATATATATATATATATATATATATATAAAATACATATATATATATATATATATATATATATATATATATATATATATATATATATATATATATATATATATATATATATGTATGTATATATATATATATATATATATATATATATATATATATATATATATGTATATATATATATATATATATATATATATATATATATATATATATATGTATGTATATATATTTATATGTATATATATATATATATATATATATATATATATATATATATATATATATATATATATATATATATATATATATATATATATATATATATATATATATATATATATATATATATATATATATATATATATATATATATATATATATATATACTGTAACGCTTTAAAACAAGGCCTGTATATATATATATACAGGCCTTGTTTTAAAGCGTTACGCCTAGAGCGATTTACGTACGCCTTAAGCGCTTTTTACGTACGCGTAGAGCTGTTTTGGTTAAGCTACTTTTTATCATTTTTTAACTTTTAAATTAGCGGTAACATAAAAGAAGTAATTAATTTTCAAAAAAACCACATTAACTTTTAAATAACGATATGTAAAGGTATTTATTAAAAAAAAGATTTTACTTTAAAATTAATTGTTGTAACTTTTCATCGCGATATATCTTTCCTTTTTATAGCAATTAATTTGGCGCTAAACTTTTTATCCAAATATTTAGCAACATGAAAAATTGTTTGTCGATCCTTAACTACAAATTTTTTGGAATGTTTTTAATAAAAAGTAGTAAAGTTTTTAGTAAAAAAAATCTATATTCCATATTTATTAATACAGAATATAAAAGTTTTTTGTAATATAGATTTTTTATGAATTTTTTACTGAATTTATAATAAAAAACATTTGCAAAAAAATTTGTAATTAAGAATTGACATTTTTTTTAATAAAATCTCAAAAAATGTCATAATATTTTTGTTATCATGATAACAAAAATATCAAGACATTTTTTCGAGATGTTAAAAAAAATATCTTTGCTTTTCTTATTAGTTTAATAGTATATAGCTTATAGTTAGTTTAATAGTATATAGCTTTTCTTATTAGTTTATTAGTATATAGTTTAAGTTATGCGGGGGAGGGGGTCGGCACAGAAAAAAAAATTACTTGTTACTCGCAATATTTGAATGAAGACAATTTGTTAAAATTCTTCTGCGTGCGATTCAATAAGTTTTTTTTGTCATAAATCAAGTTATAATATAAGGTAAAGAAATCATGAGTAGACTACAACATCCGCTGATGACACTAATATTACGTTGAATATATTTATATAACGGAGGTTTTATTATGCACGCGCACATTACAGGTTCCGTTAAATAAATACTAGGGCACGTTTTAGTTTAATGACAGTCTCCATTTTTTACTAATGAATATGTATTTTTCTTTAGAAAACAAAACAAACTAGTATATAAAAACCTTGTATGTTTCTATTATCTCTAAATTATTTAAAGTTCGAATATGGATTGTATTTTGAAGGACAAAAGATTTACTTTAAAAACTTTTCAATCTTGGGACTTTGCCGATGCGATGATCACAGAAAAAGAGAAGACTTACGTTATTATAATCAAATGTAAGTTATGTGATCTTCATCAAAATAAAATTATATCCAAAAACAATAGTGCCGTAAGGGCAACTGCCCAACGGTTTATAAATAATACAAGTCATGTTAAAATATTTTAACATGTTACTATATTTTAATTAAGTTGATATATAATTAAAAATAAAAATATAGTTCAATAAATAAATTAAATTTAT